AAGCTGTGCGTTAAGCTACTGCCTTATCAGCACACAGGTATGAAATTCAATCTTCAGAAAATCTTCGTAAGGAGTAAGAACAAGTAGGAAGAAAGCATCAAAGGCAAGAAAACCGAAGTGACAAATAAGTGGTGGAAAATAAACGAAGTAATAACAACTGAATACTAAAGAGATATAAAAAGGGAAAATGTAAGCAAAAATTATACTAAAACAAAAAAAGAACATTTATTGGCAGACATGCTGTCTAAAAAAAATGAAATGATCATGTTTCTCTGCAGCTCTCGGATATATTGGCCCAAATCGACACCATTTAAAAACACATTAGTGTGACATACTGAACGTGTCAAAGCAGTGCATTTTGTGGAACTCATAGTGAAAGATCATTTTAAAAAGTGGGCAACAATATTTCTTTCAACTTCATACACATGATAAAAAATTAATGTCTCTGCCATCCATCTATTCTTGTGCAATACAGCTCATTGATATGTCTCAGTATGTTCCATTTAGAATTGTAGTCAGTCCACAGAGATTGGCTTTTCGTGTTTAGTTCCTGTCGTGTTTTTCTTACTCTTGACATGAACCATAAAATCCCATCTAACTTCTAGCCTCAGTGCATCAAAAGTAATCTTTGATCTTATTCCTGTGGGCTTCTTTTGCTACTGAAATATTTGATGCTAGCATACTTTTTGCATGGCAATGTTCTCCAAAATCCTCTTGAATACTTAAAAGGGCACAACTGAATTGACTGTTTTGGTGGAATATAGGTAGAAGGTTATTTGAGCAAACAGCTCAGCAAGCTGTTGAACATGGCTGTTACAATACTGAATTTAAAAGGATGTTTTCATAGTGATGTCTAAAACCCAGTATTCTAGATCCCCACGTCATATCTTGAAAATTAAAATAGATTTTTGATTAATATTTAGTTTCATATCTCTCTGCTCTTCTGGTGTTTATGAAATTACTATTTTTCCAGATTAAAATAGAGAGGCCAAGCATCTTAAAAAGGACATATATTTTCGCTTAAGAACCACCCAGTATGGCAGATTCAAGAACATCAACTATGCAAAAGAATTTTTAAATAACTTTTGAAACTGTTCTTATTGCAGCAGTTTAACGTGGTGGATTTTTATACCAAGTAATTTCCCTATTTCTTTCAGGCATTGAGAAAAGATCTTGGAAAAAGGAGTTGTAAAATCTGAGGATTATAGCTGTAGTTCCATTCCGAGAAACTGCACAAAAGAACTTCTGAATATTATGTTTTCAGGAGGAACTCTCAAAACAACCATCACTCCCTGACACACTACATTCCTTCTATCTTCACCTTCTTAAAGCCTCACATTAATACAGTTCTCATTTAACAAAATATCATCAAGATATTGCTACGTTTAGAATCTGTTTATGATGCAGAGCAGAAAAGCTCAAAATAAAGGTCGCAACAGCAATGCAATTCTAGTGTACAAATGATTATTTAAGATTAGCTTCTAATACACAACCATTTTCTCAAATCTTCATTTCAGAATTTTGCATTCTTAGTACTGCAAAATAAGGAAATCAGTTGGTTTGTATGACCAAATTTGAAAATACATCATATTTAACTCTTTAAAATTGAATAAACTATGCACATCCACATAATTTTCTGATATTTTGACACAGCATTTCAACTGTATTACTTCTATTTGCATAAAATCTGACTAATGCTTTATACATAACAGGTCTGAAGTTAATGGAAAGCTTTTTCCCAATGAAAACAGGAGGGGGGAAACAAATTGAAGCTGTGCAAACACAAATAGAAATGAAAACAGAGAACCCCCCAAAACAATCGTATTCAGTTATGATTGTTCCTGTCCCTGAGTATATACTTGGGATTGATATTTTAAATGGACTGACTTTGAATCTTTCTGATGGTTTGCAACAACTTGGAACAAAGAATTATATTAATGCCTGGACAAGCTTAGTCGGAAAGGTAGAAATGCCCCCTGTGCAGATTCCTGCCACAACTAAATTCATGGCCATGAAACAGTACAAGATTCCCAGGGGTGAATGAAGACATTTCACAGACAATTAAAGACTTAGTGAATGCAAGAGTTTTAAAACCCACAAGCTTGGCTTGGAATAACCCAGTCCATCAAGAAGAATGATGGGTCATGGACAATGACCTTGGATTTCAGAGAACTAAATAAACACTTCTCAAAAAACACTTCTCAAAAAACTCTCTTGACTTTGGACTAATTATTTAAATGCAATTTGTCTGGAACAAGTTGGTTTCATTATCTTAAGTTGAGACATGCATCACAGGCTGCAAGCAGTAGGTCTTGAATTTAAAACATCTTTTGCAATTGAAGAGTTCCTCTATTGTAATCTAAAGCACAGCAGGCACATTCTATATCTAAATAACTTGAATCACCCCGGGAAAATGTAATGAGGCCCTCCTCACGTGAATTAGATATTTGAAGTCTAGCAAATTCAGAACTAGCATTTTGGCATTTTCTATCATAAACTGCCAGTAGCACCTTCCAGTAGTACAAATGCTCACTTAAGCACAAAGCAAATTCACAACCCGTTCTTTCAAACTCATTTAGTTCTCTGTAAAAAGCATTCATCCAAGAAATATGTCTAAAAAAAAAAAAAAGAAAAAAGCTTTGTCTGTTAAAATCCAAGATTTCACCGGAAGAACAGTACAGGAGATAAGGAATTACTACAGAACAAGGTAAGAATAAAAAAATTGCAAGAAGGTAAAACCTTCAAGAAAAAAAAAAAAAACTTAAAAACCCTTGCTTGCATCAAATCCACATTTATGTCTCTTAAAGAGGAGAAATATTTTTTTCTCTTGAAGAAGTTAGCTATAAAGCAAGATATTACTCTTAAGAGAGGGAATTAGAATCTCTGTCTTTATTTGTTAAAGAGTCAACAGGTTCAATAGTTTCAAGTACTTTTAAGAGGGCAGCCCCTTCCCCACCCTGACTGATTTGGAAAAATGTAAAATAAAATAAATTGCCAAGCTGAAGTGCCTAAAATAGGCACTGATCTCTGATTGTAACTTCTTTGCATCTGCGTAGTTTCAGTCCTCTTGCAAAGCCTTCCTCCCCAACAGGCTCTCCTTGCCTCTCCAGACAAAGTTTATAGCTCATGTGTATTCAGCTCTGAATGGTCTGATTCCTATGTACAACATGGTAGCAGTCAGGAGTCCAAGAGCAGCACTGTCAGAAGCCATCAAGCTTTTTTTTTTTAGACTAGCCAGTCCTGCTAGTGTAGTCAGTGCAGCTGTTTGAACAACTGGAGACAACTGCATCATTGTAAGAGAAGCTCCATGCTAGTTAACAGCTGCTTGGGCCTCAGTGCACAAGCACCGCAGCAATCTCAAGACTCATCTCTTGTAAGCACCTTTTCCAGCAGTTCCCTTAGGCAGACTAATTGGAGAAATTTAAGTATTTTCAAAGTGAAGTCAGTTTGCTATAGCCTGGAGGGGACTATACTTATATGAATATCTAAAAATAAACAGTACTTAAAGATTTGTAATATGCTACAATTTGTCTACATTTTGATTTTGTCAGCAAAGAACTCCTCCTTAACTTTTAGAAAGGGGAGAAATGGCAAGATTTTTAGCTATTCAGAAGATTACACTTTGATGGAATCGCACATTGAGCTAAAATAACATAAATAAATAGATAACTTTCAAGCAGAAATTATTTTCATTTCATTGCAAGTAAAATATTGTTACCAATTTCTGCAGCTTTTTATACAACATCTTGTATGAATCATCTAACAAGATTTGCATATTTATACATTAAAAAAAATCAGCATACAACTAGTCCAAGTAAAACAGCATATCTGTTTGCAGTAATAGCAATATCAGAACTGCAGCCAGGCAGTCTCAGCAGCTGAGGCAGAAGCTGGGCTCTCAGTGGGCTTGGGAAAAGGCACTTGGAGGTGCAGGTATCAGCTCAAGATGCAACAGCGAGCCTGGCTGTGTGCAGGGCGTTTGTCTGGCTAGGTAAAGGGAGGCTGAAAGGGCTAGGGCAGGCACAGATGGGGCCAGAACGTCTGAGAACGTTCTTTTCAGAACCACTTTTTGTTTTCTGCCCCTCGCTCACAACCAGGCTATGATGCATCTGGACACAGGTATCTGTATCAAGTGGTATCTGGCAGCCCTGGTGAAACTTGTTTGGATTTATTCAAGAGGTTTACACCGATGTTTGCGCTACATCAGTTTTTGGCTCCAACTTTTCCATCCCTAGCTGCTCCAGCATGCAATCAAACACTCCACTTGCACATACAGCTTAGTCGATTAAAATGCAAAGAGCCCTTCAGATACATAATTAGTCATTTCTGTATTTAACTGGCAGCCATCAGGCACACACTGGACACCGCTCTACAACATGCACGTCCTGTAAGAGACTGCAGTTGTAAGTTGCAGTCTCCCCATTTGCACTCCCCCTCCTGCACACACCATGGAGGACAGTGACCTGAAGCTACAGGATTCCCATTGCTCTTGTCCAGCAGGAGCGGAGCTAGGGTATGATAACCGCTCCCCTGGGTCAATCACTTTTTTGTCTCTGAAAGCAAGCTCATGGTAAGTGGGGCTGCTTTGAAGGAAGAGTTGAGCTAGTGAGGTACCAGGCCCCCTGCCCAAGCTGGGCAGGAGGAAGTGAGGGGACAGCTCCTAGGAAGCCTCCATTTTGGAAAGGACAGCTCCATGCTGGAAGGTGCAACCTCAGACCGCGGCATGCCCCAGGGCCATACCTGGTCGTCACCTTCTTCGCCAGAAAGCCACATTGCAGACCGCGTACTCCCAACGTCGAAGGGAGCTAGAGGCCGCCCTAATGGCTATCCTGGCGCGGGAGGAGAGGGTGGGGCCTTCTCTAGCGGTGACCCTCGCGCGAGAGCAGGAAGGGCGGGGCGGCCCGGCCCGGCCCGGCCCGGCCTTAACGGTCCTAACGGGCCTTCTCACTTGCGCGCGCGCGCAGCTCTGCCCTGAGGCGAGAGGGAGGCACCGCCGCGCTGGTCGCTGCCGCCTGAGGGGCGGCGAGGGCTCGTCCTTCCCGGCACGTCCCTTCCAGGGGTATGGGACGTACAGACTGCTCTGGAAGAGTGGTATGAGAAGTTCCAGCGTTTTTGAGAACTTTTTTTCTCTGATTTGTTTGCTATTTTTTTTTCCTTTCTCCCTCCTACCTCTCTTCCTCCCTCCCCACCACCCTGGGCCATGGAATACTCAAGAAGGGGGGAGGAGGTGGAAGAAAATGGGGGTAGTTTCACTGTTTGGAGTTGCTTTAGTTCAGTCCTCCCTTTCCTTTTAGGAGTTCTGGTGTAGGAAGAAGCAAGGAATCTGTAGAGGTTTCTGTGGAAAGAAGGAAAGTTGCCTCTCTCGCTTGTTGTGAGGAAGAGTGTGGTGAAGAGACAAAATGAAAAGGTGGAGGTAGGTACCGAGCTGGGGAGAAAGAGGGATGGTTGGGGGCAGAGTTAGTGTGCAGGCCGAGGGCACTGCCTTTATGGAGGGGTTAGGGGAGAGAAAACAAGCTCTGCAGCCTCACAGGTCCCCAGTCATCTTTGGGAACTGCAGCGAATGGGGGGCTTGTGTGTGCCCTGAGGAAAATAGCAGGCTCATAAAACACAAGTATGTATGTATACACAAAGAAAAGGTAGGAATACTACTGCTGCATGACAGATGCTGTCTCGAAGATATTCTGATTCCACAAAATGCTTTTAATGTTTACATTTGCTGCTTTGTAGACTTCAGGAAAGGGCTTAACGTGTTTTGTCTAAAGGATATAAGCATCCTGCAGAAAGGGATTTTGCATTTTTTTTTAATTAAATGTGAATGTTGGTGACTTGCTCCATCGAAGTAGCACTTTTAAAAATTAATTTTTATACCTTTTGGCTGGCTTGTTACTAGGCGCTGATTGCCAGAACTCTTCATTGGTGTCTAAAGTAAACTTTCTTAACTCAAAGTGGCCTGTATGGGTTTTTCAGTGTCAGCTGTCTTGCATGTAGTATTATTTACTTAACAATTAGAATAGCAAGGAGATCGTAAAGGTGCAGAGCAACAGAAGAGAGCAAACAGAAAACAAGTACATCATGTTATTCAGTATTCTATTCAAACCATTGTACAGGTGATCCTAATGTTGTAGCTTTGGACAAAGAATGGGCAAGCTCTAAGACTGTAATAATTCTAAATGACCTATAAAAACTTGTAATTTAAACTACTTAAATTTGCTTGTGCATGTTATTGTTCAAAAGCAAGGAAATTATGCTAATATTGTGTATTAAAATGGTGTTAATTTGAGACTTATAAGAATAGAAGTGTACAGCTCATGTTAAGTTCTCAACAGTCATGGAGTACAATATGACACACAGTAAGTATTTGGTCTTTGTTAGAAACAAAGCAGTTTGAGTGAACAATGAATTGCCCATCTTTTCATTGGGAGACAGGATTTACTTGTCAGCAAAATAAAGTGTATCATGTGAAAATATCAGTGACTGCAAGTGAAAAAGGAAAGCTGCTGCCCATAGCAGGAAGAGGAGAAGAAATGCAACTCTCAACTGTTATTTGCTGGGAACAAAATTATTGTTCTTTTACTATATAGAAAGGACAGTTTTTCTATAAATCTAAATCTATTTCTATAAACTAAATTCTGAAATTCCATCCACTAGTCTGGAAGTAATGCCACCACCTGCTTTGTCATCGCAAAGAAGAATTAATTTACGAATTCTTAGAACACTGACTGAGGAGGAGGGTGCCCCACCCTGTCTATACTGGATAAAGAGATAGAATCAATGCATGCTGTGCACAATGGATTTTAACTCCACAAAAAACATCTGCGTGAAGTCAGAGTTTAAAACTCTTATTTATGCAGAAGACTATTTTGAGTGCTGTGAATGGGAAAACAGTTCAATGAAAAGGAAGTCTCACTGTCACATGTGTAACTACTGTTGATACCATTTCAAATATAGCGCTGAGAATAAAGAATCCAATCTGAGATTGTTCTATGTCTGTTTTATCCTCTAGTACAATTTGAATCTTCAGATAGTGAGTAATTTGACAAGCTCTGTAAATTGTAGTATCTAGAGATGGTGAAATGAATAGCAAGTGTCAGCCTTAATTATGAATTTTCCTGCCTTTTTGAAGATTTTTTTTTTTTGTGATTTTTGTGTGATCGCTGCTACTCTTACAGATGTAATGGAAACTATATACATTAGATAGGCATAAGCAGTGAGTAAAAGGGGACTTACCATAATTTGTAATTCTCTCATTCAAGTTCTTTGAAGGCATTTTTGTCAAAACAGTAGAAATCTCAAGATTGATTGCATCTGAACTGATGTACTTTGTATGTTGATTACAATCAACAGAGTTTGTGCGTCTCTGGAGGCGCATGGAACCTGCTGAAAATGATTTAATATGAACCATTTTTCTCAGCAAATGTATACTTGAGCTCTGTTGAGCTGTTTCTTTGTTTGAAGAATGGCATTGTTAGTGTTTTACCATATGGGGCATGTTATCTTCAGAGAATGAAGTGCTTTTAGGATTGAAGTTTTGTTTTTGTTGAAGCAGACCTACAAGTGCAAGAACGTGCAAGTAGTTGCTTTGTTGCAGCTACTGCCTTTTCATTTGTAGTCTTTACGTTGTAAATATGCACGGGTTTGCATGGGTTGCTAATGGAATAACATATTTAATCCCTGTCATTAAAGCTAAAGTCTGAATTCTTAAAGATGGAGTTTTTATTATTAGGGTTACTGCCAAAATAGATTTAAAGAGAAGCTGACTTGTCTGGCCAGGTGTCCAAAAAGTGCTTCTACAAATACAGCTGTGTCAGCTGAAGTATAATTGTGACTGACGTTGCTGTGCTAACAAAAGCTTCTTGCTATACCTTCATATTAAACAAATGCAATCATGATGATGTGGCTAATTATAGCTGTTTGATATGAGATAAGATGCAATATTATAGTGTGAGCAAGGCTCAAGAATTTGAATGCAGAAGGTTATGTTATTAGCTAGCCTATGTTGATATTTTTGAAATATATTCTGATTTTTCTTTTTCTATACTGAAAAGAAAAAAAAAAATTGAAGATGATACCTAATAGAGTTCTGTCAATTCAAATGATAAACGATAATTTAAGACACATCTCATTGTGTGTTTAGGTTGCTTGAAAACACTTGGTCTGCTTTGTTAAAATAACATCTAACAAGCAACATCGAGATTTTCTTTAAGCAAATTTCTCTGTACATAAAAATCTCAAAGCTTATGTACATCTGTAGTGCTGATAAAAGACTTTTTCAGGAGAAAAACATATTTGTGTTTTCAAGTTACTTTTTCTGCCATTTTAAATTAAGCCTGATTATGATTGCAGAATGCATTAGATTAAAAATGCATTTTTTTCTTTAATCTAGTGCAAAACCAATAAAGATTCATCCAGTCTCTGAGCATGCTTTAGGGATTTGAGCCAGATTCCAAGTTCAGTCTTGTCATTGCTGTGTTTTTGTTTGATTCTTTTGGCTCACCAGATATTTTAACTGTGCTTTCTTACTTGAAATATACTGTTATACGTTTAACTGTCATGGTGACTATTATATAAATATATTTTCAATTTGCATTTGTAGATATTCTGAACAGTACTGATAAAGAGAGTTAACAGTATACTGATCAAACAGAGAAGCTGCTAGTGATGCAGGGAATAGGTTCAGTGATGAATACTGAAGAGAAGAAATGGTGTTTGTCTGTTTTCTAGTGCAGTTATAACTGCTTACTAAACTGGTGTGAAGAATTGATGAATTTGACAGCTTAATTTTGTTATTACAAATCGTAGCTGCAAAGTACTCAAATTTGAGGATATTTTAATATTTGAAAATGTTAATCTGTGAAAAGGTGAGAATATCTTAAAGCTGAAGTTTCATCTGTGATGTTTGAAAAACCTTTCTACCTATGATGGCAAGCTTAATGGGTGGTGGATTGAAAGGGGTTTCCTGTTTCTTCTGGAATAATGAGAACTGCTAGTGGCTTCTTGACTTTGACCTTTTTGTCTGATATGTAGGTGTATTGTGCTGATATTGCTGTCTTAACCTACTGCTAAAGCTCAGCCTCATATTTGAATTCTATATGAAGGTGTTTTAGGTTATTTGAGAAATCTTTGTTTTTGAAATTAATTTCCAAGGAGCAAAACCAAACTTTGAATTTATGAGAAGAAATCTTAACAAAGTGGAGAATATAACTAGAAGTTTGTAAGACAGTTCAGCTCAATCTTAAATCCTAATAGGGGCTTATAATAATAATCATGTCTTTCTCATTATTATTAAGGGCTTATAATAATGTCTTTTTCATTATTATAATAATGAAATCTTTCCCTTAGTATGTTACACATAATGAGTAATCCGGTCAAGTAAATAGCTGTCATGTAAATTTGAGCATTGGGAACTAGATATTGCACACTGTGTCTGTTTCTCTGTAGTTTCACAGAACATTAGCTCATTTTGAAGCCAAAGGTATGTTTTATGATGTTCTGTCTTGTCTTGGTCTGTTCTTTCATACCATGTGTCTTTAACCTCCAGATTCTCCTCTTTGTGGCTTTCTAGATGTGGTTATTTTAGAGTTTTAACTAAAATATATAGATGCATGAAAACATCAGTCATACACTGTAAAGGTTCTGAAAGACCATGAACAAAATATATTGGACATTGAAGGCTGTCTGTTCAGAAGAACCTCTGATGCATAAAACTGATTCCTCAAAGGAGTGCTGTAAATTCTTGATTTAATGTAGCCATAGTGATTACACAATTCGTATTTCATAATTAAAGGAGCTTTTCCTTTACAGTGATATAAATTATAATAACTTATTCCCCCAAACTCCTATCATTCTGTGAAAAAGGCTATAAAAATTCAAATTTTTAAGAGTGCAATTTAATTTCAGCATGCTTTCAAGGAAAGAAGGGAATTGCATATATTGACTCTTTTTTTTTTTTTTGTATTATTATTTTGTTCCTTCCCCCATAAGAAATGAATTAATTCCAAGAAAACTCTAAGTTTTTTTTTCTGTAGCAAAGAATCTAAAAACACAGTCTTATTCCTGAAAATAGGACAACCGGGCAAGTATTCTAAGACTAAGTAGCTATATAAATTAGGCTGCTGGGTTGCTGGGGAACTTTGATCCTTAGGAAATATCAATATCAATTTTATAGAAATGTTTGGTGTATCCATTTTTTGCCCTCAAAAGGAAAAAGGATGATGGAGAAAGGAAAAAGGGAAACATTATTTAATAAAAACTGTTTTTTTTTCTCTTTTATAGGACTTTTTTTAAAAAAATCACAGCAATCACAATTGTTTAATGTGCCGTGATGATCTCTCTGATATTACTCTTTAACTGATGATCATGCATAGCTAATTCTCCTTTGCCTTCTTGCCTTTCCATGCTCAAACAGTGGATCACCTTACTTTAAGGCTGTTCTACAAAGCACAATGAAGCAAAACGTTGTTAAATGACTCTAAGAAATTAATGTGGACACTGTTTCCACAAAATGTCTGAACTATTCCTTAGTGCTGTTTCCCCCAAAATTTCAGCTGATCACCCTGGTTATATTTTTAGCTAAAGTAGTGAGTGACTGAAAATAGGACTCCTACTATTTGGCAGCCTCTGCTAAAGATGTCACTATGGGTTTTACTTATTAGACTCGACCTATGTAGTGTTTTAGCTGTGTAAATAGACCAAAGAGTATTCTGCTCCAAATAGTTCAGTTTCCGAAAATGGAAAGCATTTTTTTCTTACCTTTCTACGTGTATAAGAATAGCATGACAAATTACTCCAGTCTTGCCTTTCACAGAGAGAGTCCACATCCCTTTGTGAGCTTGTAAAGGTTATGGCATGACCAAACACTTCCAGTCTAAACTAGAACCAAAAAAAGTGTTTCCTTGCATAAACACCAATGTTACTGTGGATGAAATTCTGGGAAAGGGAGATTCTAAGCTGGTGCCCTTGTTTTCATCTCAAACTTTCTCCTGTAAGCTGATTAATTAAAAAACCTTCCTTTGAGTCATGATAAGACGGACATTCTTTTCCTTGCTATACTGCATAATCGTGCAGTGAAATGTTTTTCACTCAAAAAAAAAAATCACACAAAGGAATGAAGAAAACATGCAAGCGAGGGCGGTAGGAGAGACAAAAGTTACCATCTCTTAAAATTATTACATTCAAAATGGATCATTTGTAATAAATTTCCTATGGCTTCATGAAGCGTCGTGGGCTGATTGATAGCTAAAGGAGACGATAAAAGAAAAATAGTCCAAACAGGATAATTTATACAATTTTTTCCTGACTGCTAAAGCCAATTCACTATGTCATATATCAGAAAATTGCAGCAACCTGAAGCTGACAACTTGCTATATATAAACAGAAAAGTGACATTAGGACCTTGTCAGAGGCAAGTGATTGTATCTTAATCTTTCTGAATAAAAATTTCCTGATGATCAGGAGATCAGATGATGCCTGGCAAGTCTGCTAGCCTAAGTTTTACATAGAAAAAAAAGTTAGAAAACTTAGAAAGCAAATTAGAAAAAAAGTATAACTATTTCATATTGGAGGTACGTTTCATACCAGAATTTTTAGGGAGTTGTTTTTAAAAGGATGTGTGTGCGGTGAGCAGAAATGACAAGGAACTTCTCAATTCTTTTTATTCCTCATAAAAGATTTTTCTCTTCTCACCAAATCTGGTGTCTGTATTCACATGTTCCTTACCTGTTTCCTGCAAGAATTTAGCTGCTTCCCTCCTCCTTCAGATTTCTTTACTATTTATCTACTGCTATGAGTACTGCTCATTGCAAAAGACAGATTCAACTGCCAGAATCATATTACAGCATATATAGCTTGTCACTTCAGTGACAGCTTTAACTCCTTTTTGACTGCAAGTTTAACTTATATGGATTTAATTTATGGGAATCGATCTTAAAAAAAAAAAAAAAAAAAAAAAAAAGCCTTTAGAGAAAAGGCATTGCAGGTCTAAAGTATTTAACTTTAGAAAGAAATAGAGATTGATTAAGAGTGTATTTATAACAGAAGTGTGTATATATGAATTAAATGAACTGGACAAAAATGACAGGAAAATGTCACTGAATTCACTACATTGAAATTTTAATGAGGTCAGAGGATTGTCTGCTATTTTATTAAGCAAGGTATGTGGCCCTAGTTCATAGAATTCAAAAATGATAGGAATTTCATGTGATAGTCTTTAGATATCTTAGTTACATTTTTATTAATGTGGCTGAAAGGAGTCCACAACTACAATTGGGCCTCACCTTTTGATTTGTGGCAAGTAAAAAGAGGAAATAAAAAAAAAAAAAAAAAAAGACATTTAGTGTGGTATAGGGAGAGAAGAATGGTGTGATTTTTTTTTTGTTTGTTTTGTTTAATATCCCTATCCCTATAAATAAAAATTTATAAACAGTATTGAAGCATAACTTTGACTTTAAGCCATTTTCTCTCTCTTGTCCTTCATTACTACCTTTTTTTACCCTTTTTTTTTTTTTTTTTCCCCCTCAATGCACT